GTAGTACTAATAAGTATAACAGAATAATAACATTAATAACAAAAAATAACAGAAGGAAACATCGAAAAAAACCTTAGAGGAGATAGAAAACAAAGAAATATAAGATAAAGAAATACAAGACCCAAGACAAAAAACTAAAAACAAAAAAACAAGATGGAAACCGACATAAAGAAACGAGAGAAACATAAACCAGGTAAACAAGAATAAAGAAAAGAAAAGCGTCTGCCATCTCTGGGTTTCATCATAATACCTTAAAAAAAGAAAGAAAAAGAAAAAAAAAGAAAAAAGAAAAGGAAAAATGACCTCCGGACAATGGCGGCTGAGCGAGAGTGATTTTTAAAGAGATTTTGCGACGGGGGGAGGGGGGGGAGGGGTAAGAAAGGGGGCAGGGGGGGGGTGGGGGAGGGAAGGAGGGGAGGGTAGGAGGGAAGAAGGGATGGGAGAGGGGGATGGGGATAGGGGGAGGAGGGGAGGGAGAGGAGGGTGGGGATAAGGGGAGGGGATGGACAGGGGGATGGGGATAAGGGAGGAGGGAAGGAGGGGAGGGAGAGGGGGGTGGGGGAGGAAAAGGAGAAGGAAAAGAAGAAGGAATAGAAGGAAAGGGAGAGTGATTTTTAAAGAGATTTTGCGACGGAAGTGGGGAAGGGGTTAGAGAGGGAAGGAGAGAGGGGAAGGGAGAGGGAGAAGGAAGGAGGGGAAGAAGAAGGAAAAGGAGAGAGGAAAGGGAGAGGAGAAGAGGGAGAAGGGAAAGAGGGTACGGCTTTTGTTTCAGGGTTTAGAGAGGGAGAAGGAGAGAGGGTACGTAGAGGGGAGAAGGAAGGAAGGGTGGGAAGAGAAGGAGAGAGGAAAGGTGAAGGAGGAAAGGAAACCAGAATTAGGAGACGGAGAAAGAGAGAAGGACGGAAGGTAGGGAGAAGAGAGCAAAGGAATGTGGAAGGAAAAGTAAAGAAAGAAGTGAAGAAGGAGAGAGGAATGGATAGGGAAAAGAGAAAAGAAAAGTGAGGCAAGAGAAAGAAAGGCGAAGGCAACAGAAGAAAGGAGAGAGGGAGGGATAGGAGAAGGAAGCGAAGAGGACAGGGTGGGACAACGAGAAGAGAGTGAGCAGGAGAGAAGGAAAGGGAGGGAATAAAAGAGAAAAGGGGAAGACAAGGAGGAGAGAGGAAGTAAGAGTGGACGACTTGCAGAAAGAGGGAAAGGGGGGGTGAGGAACAAGAAGAGTTTGTTGGAAAAAAAAGTAAAGAAGAAGAAGAAGAAGAAGAAGAAGAAGAAGAGAGCGAGAGAGAAAGAGAGAAAGAGAGAAAGAGAGAGAGAGAGAGAGAGAGAGAGAGAGAGAGAGAGAGAGAGAGAGAGAGAGAGAGAGAGAGAGAGAGAGAGAACGAGAACGAGAGAGAGAGAAAGAGAGAAAGAGAAAGAGAAATTGGGAAGAGGGACAGTAGACGAGTCCTTCTAGAAACCCTAGACGCAGGGGAGGAGGGAAGGAGGGAAGGAGAGTCCAAGGATCTCTTCCGGTTTAAAGGAGGTGTGAATGTCCCGCGGGAGATGATATCCGAACTGCCTCGTTGCCTATGAAGGGAACTCTCCGGGGGAAAAACACACCGGGGTTTTAAGACCGGTTTGCGTGTTGGAAGGGAGGGGGTGGGAAG